GGCATCGAGGCTTTCTGGGCATCCTGGAGCGCCCCAGCCGGAGCCAGCGCCTGCTGCTGATTAACTCATCTGCTAATTACAGATGAGCTGGGGTCGTAACAATCTCTTGTTGCAGGAGGAACCTCTGAAGTGATTTCTTGCTGAGGAGGAGCTGCTGCAGCCCCTGGGAAAGGTCCTGGCTGGATTTGTTCCCTCTCCAGAGCAAACCAGTCCCTTGAGGACCTTCCGTTCACCTGCATCCCCAGCACGTAGATTTTGGGAAGGAATTCTTCCCCGTGAGGGTGGGGAGGCCCTGGAATGGAACTCCCTGGGAGCATCCAGGGGCAGTTGAAGGTGTCCCTGCCCTGGCAGGGGTGGGGTGGGATGGGATTCGAGGTCATTCCAACCCAAACCTGCTCCATGCTCCGCTCTGGCTGCCCCTCTGCTCCCCCTGCAGCTCCTCACTCCTTCCCCTGCTGCTTCTTCTCCTCCAGCTCAGGGATAAAATCATTTTCCCCCGAGCTGCCTCAGCTCCCCCGGCTGCGGGCGGGGGCTGCAGCCACCTGGATCCTCTATAAATAGGGATGAGATTGCGCCCGCCGGCTCTGCGGCAGCGGGGGGGGGGTTGGAGCCAAATTTTGGCAGAGTTTGGACCATCACATCCCTCTGCTCCCAGCCCTGGGCAAGCTGGATGCTCCCTGCATAAGCCACGTAAGTGAATTATTGCCAGTGTCAAGGAAAATTGCCTGAATGGGATTTTTTTTATGTTTTTTCCCTTTGATTTTTAAAGCTGTGCCTTAATGCTGTGCCCTGGTCCCTGCTGCCACACACCCGGGGCAGCAGCACGGAGCCACTTGGGGGATAATTTATAAATTCCAATTAATTTTGCTCCTCTCTGGCAACTCAGGGACCCCGAGGAACTTCTGATCAGCATTGGTTTATTTCTTCACAACATTTCTTTTAATACAGTGATTTTTAGGAAATTGTACTCTTTTTTTTTTTTTTTTTTTTTTCACTTTTGACATTTGTACAGTACAGTGTAACTCTTCCATAAGTAAACTTCACAAAAAAGAGAAGGAGGTGGGGGAAAAGGGGAGGGAAGGAGATGGAATCACGGTTGGGAGGGGAGGAAATAAAGGGAAATCTGTAAAATAAAGACACAGCGCTCCAGGAAAAAGAAATAAAAGGGCAGCTCTGTCATGGCTACGGGAATATCCACTTATTCACAGTCTCCACAGAAGCACAGAACTACAGGAACACGAGATCCCAAATCCCTGGAGCAAAGCAGCCACGGTCCTAACCCTGCTCACCCCCCCGAGCCCACCCCGGGGCCCATTGGCTCCAGTTGGCTCGGCCTGGCTGATGGATCGAATCAAT